GTTAGAATTTAATTTGTTCGAGATTCGCCAATTATGTGATATCAGGTAAGTAAATAAAAAAAAGTTTAAAAGAGTTAAAAAAATATATAAAATTATCCACAAACATTTTTACAATCCCTGTAAATATGTGTATACCAATGCATACATGCGTTGTGTGTTCTTACATAAGAATACGGCGATTGCACCACACAGGTTATGTATCGCCGCATGCGCCGGAGTGTGAGCAATAATTCTATGGCCAATATTCATGGTTAACTCCAAACTGATGACCTGTACAGAGGGCCGGTTCACACCACAAACTCCGCATTCCAGGGCGTTCGGTCTCTGGAATGCACGGGAACACAAGCCGGCTGGCTGTCTGCGTTCAGGGGCGGGAGGGGGTGTGGTGGTGCACTCAAGTCACTGGCACCGCAGCCCCCGCCCACAGTGCGATCACCCGGAATGCAGGAACTGTGCCTGCGTTCTGGGTGCGGCCGATCGCACTACGGGGGGTGCATGGGTGCGGTGCCATTGACTTGAATGCACCGCCACGCCCCCTCCCGCCCCTGAATTCAGGGAGCTGGCCGGCTTGCGTTCCAGAGGCCGAATGCACTTGAACACGGAGTTTGTGGTGTGAACCGGCCCTTAAGGTGACCATACCCCTTACGAATATCGTCCGATTTTCGTATCCGATCGCGTTTTCGTCTGATATTCGTAAGGTTGATGGGCAGTGTACATTACAACCGCAAATACTGTACAATCGATCAACTTTTGTATTCTGACTCCGATCGTTGTGATAGCGAGATATATCCCTTGCTGAGACCTCTATGCCTGGCATGTATAAGCAGATATACTCACTGCGGACAATCCTCGTCAGATAGCTGAACTCGTCAATACCGATTCATTCAAAAAAGGTGTTTATTCTTCTACATCAGGTTACAGCAGATGATAGGAACAGCAGTTGAACGGTTATAGTATTGTGCGGTCAGAAAATGATGCCTTTCCTACGTACTGTGCAGATTACCTGAGTGTCCTTGTTACATGTGGCTTTCAACTGTGCCCATGACACAGGAAGTACTGCACACAGGAAGAAGGGTGGGGCTACACTAGGGGAAAATACATCGTCACATGAGGAATAATTACAGAAAACATGTTTGTTACAACAAAAGGCCACTAGATGGCAGCATAGGATAACACATGAATTTAGCTATGAGAAAATAGTTAGGCAAATCACACTATATAAATTCTAACCTATATAACAATGCTAATATTAACTGAGGCTATGCATCTCATATTCTATGCCCCTGTTGGGGCGGCACATTTTGACTAACCAGCAGGTTAGAAAACTTCCGTCGTACGTACGATTTTCGCAAGGTTGGTGGCGTTTCCGTACGTCAAAATTCGTACGATTTACACTGCACATGCGCAGACGAAAATACGTGCGGTCGATTACCGCAATTCTAATTACCGCTGATCCAACCTTGCGATAATTGGGGCAGCCGTACGAAAATCGTACGACGGTTCGATCATCGGACAAAAAGTGTCGTCCGATGATCGCAAGGTGTATGGTCAGCCTTACTCACTCATGATTACCTGCCGCTTGTTCTATTTCATCTTATGGGTAAGAACTGTTTGAAGTGGAACTCTGAAGCAATCAGCCTGTTTATGTAGACATAGACAAACTCATTAGCTGATGAAGACTGAATGGATTACATATGGAACAACCAACCCTAATGATACTCATCTCACACTGGAAAACGTCCTCCTTTTATAACATGGTTCATCCTGTTTTAAGTAGTTGCTCTGGAATGTATCCTGGTATGTCACCATTGCAGCTAAAGGTAAAGGAGAACTATGAGTCTCTGTCTACTGTCACACGCCGGCTCAATAGATCGGGAAGTGAGCGAACACATACCGTCGCTCGCTCACTTCTCGATCATGTCCCTGCAGAGAGAAGTGACTGTCACTCACGGCTCCCTGCAGGGATTCCCCCGCTCCGATCCTCCAGCGCTGACTGGCAGAACGGACGGGGGAGGGGGCGGGCACAGCTGGCTCTGCCTCTGGAAAGGCAGAGCTAGCTGTCAATCATGCAGCTGGGTGGATCTCGACAGTAATGTTGGGATCTCTCCCGGCTGCGGCGGTCTCAGTATACCCCGAACTGTAGCTTGCGATATACTGAGCTTTGGGTCACTGGAGGACGCTAGTTTATGTCCTCCCGTGACCCTTGGGGAAAAGCACTGACCCCATAGTTCTCCTTTAGTAGTACACTTCCATTTATTGCTGTGCACATAATAAACTTAGCAACAGCATACCTACCAACTACAACCTAGCATGTGCAAACAAATGTTCTCCATAGACACCCAGTCAGAGAGTCACTTTATGATATGTGGAGCTTTAAATAAGCAACAATTATGTGTGTAAAAGTTCACGCTAAAACCGTTGAAAAATAAATAATAGTCACCAGCAGCTGTTTAAATATGACAAGTGATATAAAAAATGCAACACAATATAAAGCAGCATCTAGTGCAATAAATAAGAAAACAATAATGGCTCATACACACAGGCAGGGCCACCATTAGAAATCATGGGGCTCTGTACAGCTCACCTGACAAGGGCCCCTTGTGCGTTAATCATATGGTTCTGTACACTTAACGCACGTTATCATGCAATGCACCTACAATGTGTTACAGTGCGGCATGTCCATTGCATTGCCATTCATTTAAATGGCACCCTAAACGTACCCCCCAGCCACACTGAGTTGCGATGTGGTGGGAAAAAAGGTAATGCATGCTCATAGGGCCCGTAACGACCGATGCATTGGGGCTGCGCTGAGCATTTTTTCCAGCATAGCTCGAACGCAAGAAAAGGCAATTTGCCTTGCCACGGATGGGCACAGTTCACTCCACCGCGATGCGGTGGTGTGCGCGTAAAGAAAGTATCGCATGAAGTACTTTTTTTTTTTTAGCACACCACAGTGAGATGCGGTACAACCACATTGTACCATGGTGTGCCCTTAGAACTTAAAGGAGAACTATGAGGTGAGTGATTTTCACTCAACCTTATAGTTCGAGCCGACGTGTGACAATGAGACTGTCACATGTCGGCTCAATAGATCGGGAAGTGAGCTAACACATAGCGTCGCTCGCTCACTTTTCGATCCTGTCCTTGCAGAGAGCCGTGATTGTCACTCACGGCTCCCTGTAGGGATTCCCCCCACCCCCTCCCCGCTCCTATCCTCCAGCGCTGACTGGAGGAACGAATGGTGGAGGGGGCGGGCACAGCTGGCTCTGCCTCTAGATAGGCAGAGCCAGATGTCAATCACAGTAATGTCGGGATCCGTCCCAGCTGTGGCGGTCTCAGTATATCGCAAGCTGTAGCTCGCGATATAGTAAGCTTTGGGTCATGGGAGGATGCTAGTTTATGTCCTCCCGTGACCCTGAGGAGAACTATGGGGAAAAACACTTACCCGATAGTTCTCTTTTAATGAAATGTCACTTTTGACATTTCAGTAAAGTTCTAACAAAAAAAAGAAAGTGGATGCATCTCGATCCAGCGCATCAGCACTGTCCGGGAACACACAAATTAGCAGCTGTGTGGTAGAACGTGGCTGCTGGTGTGAACAAGCCCGTACACATCTCCGTTCGGCTCTTAGCAACCTAAAACCTCTGGCCGGCCTCCCATCCAGCTCCTGGCAACCACTGATGTTACTGGTTTCCTAGAGCCAGACGGGAAACCGGCCACAGCATGCTGGTTGCTAAGAGCCAGGTGGAGAGGTGTGTATGGGAGCGGGGCCCACACTGGAGGGCTGACGTGTTTACATGCGTATGCCGTTTAGAGGCACACCCGGCCACTTTGCATGGGTATGTTACCATGTGTTGGGCCAGACCTATGCAATTCATAGCAATGACTTCATCAGGAGTGGACAGAAAAACAGGCAGGACTGAGCCAACGCCCGTGACATCATCGCGCACAGATTCTGCAGGGGGTTTGCGACAAGTGGTGCGTGCCTTCTGTACAATATTGAGTCTTTTATCTTTAGATTTGGGTCAGTTAAACATTTGTGAGTGATTTCATGGTTTTATCTATTTTGTTTAAAATAAATGGTGCCCCTTCTCTCTGCCTCCAGAGGTCACCGCACCACAGTGTAATGTAAAGAGCTGGAGTGTAGAGATATAAATAGAGTGTACACTTTGCACACTCTAAATAAAGTTAGGAAAAGAAACAAAAATGTGAACAGTGGCACCATGCCTCGCTGCTGCCACCCAGTGGACACTAGCTGCATGGTAAAACACTGCATAGCGCCATGAAACTAGTCTAGGGGTAGGGAACCTCAGTTGTGGTGAAACTACAAATCCCTTCTGACTCTGGGAGTCATACCTGTGGCTCTCAGTTTTCCAATACCTCATGGGACTTGGTGTTCCACAAAAGCTGGAGTGCCGAGGTTGCCTAACCCTGAGCTAATTTGAAAGAACCCGCACTGTTTTATATTGGTTTGAACAATGTATTACTGACTTCCGGTGTCAAATACCATGCTAGCCATAAGAACACATTTACATTTATGCGGTGCTTTAATGCACATGTGTTATGTTATGCGTTTGTACATTGCATTAAGGCAGCCCTTGAGATCAGTGGGCTTCTGATGCACCAAAATGCCCCAAAAATCAGACATGTCACAACATTTTTGCTGCAACACACTATGATGCGTTGCCAATGCCTTGCCTTGCATTGAGATGCTATTTAAAAAGTGTAGCACCGCGATGGGTCAATACATGTAATGTGCATTACAGTAACATGGGTGTTGCCGCAAAGCATAGATGTAAAATGTAAAATGTTTTACAGCTGGTTGATTTCATGGGTGTTAATTGATCACTTGTACAGGTAGATCTTCTATGGGTGCAGTGCAGAAGCCTGTCTGTCTGTTCTGTTACCACTAGAGGGCAGTAGGAAGCAGAGGGTGCTGGGTGCTACAAACTCATATAGAGTCTCACACAGGCACACAAGAGTCAAATGTGAACTGACAAGCCGAGAAGCAGCCTGTGCTCTTTCTCTCTCTCAATCTGCTTCATGTACTGTCTGTCTTCTCAGTAATACCTTTCCTTCTTGCTGTGTCAGGACTTCAACTACTGCTTTTCCTTTCCTGTATTCCGCTTATGTTATACACTCTTTTATTTGACTTCTGCACTTCTGATTTAAGGCTTGACAAGGATCAAACATGGGTGATGCCCATGGGCCATCCATTGGCCCAGCTGATATTCTCCTTTGTGACAGCTTCACCCAAGTGCCTGGAGAAGGAATGGTCCTCTCGCTGCTCCTGACACAGAAAGAACTGATAATACAGAGCCTGGTCGCCACCTCATCCGGATACCCCCAGACATCCTTCAACTTAGTCGACTGTGTCAGCTGTCACTCCTTCAAGGGTAAAGACCCCAAGGACATCGGCGGGTATTTCACCGTTGTCTTTTATCCTCTTAGGGGGATGTTAGGATCTACAAACTACAGGCAGCGAATTTGCAGGACATTCCGGACAGAAGTGTCAAGGGACAAAGAGCAGAACATGAAACTTGCCAGGACCTGGACAGAGAAGATAAAGCAGCTGTCTACAGAGCCAGGTAAAGTGGTTTGCCAAGGGGGAATATAGTGGCCTCTAAAGTTTTTGGTTGTGGTAGCACCATAGACAGGTGCCACATGCTCCATGATGAAATAGTTGAGGTCCCATGATGAAAAAGTTGTGGTTCCATGATGAGATAGTCGACACTACATGATGAGATAGTTGACGTTCCCCGATGAGATGGTTGACGTTCCCCGATGACATAGTTGACGTTCCCCTATGACATAGTTGACGTTCCCCAATGACATAGTTGACGTTCCACGATGACATAGTTGACGTTCCCCGATGACATAGTTGACGTTCCCCGATGACATAGTTGACGTTCCACGATGACATAGTTGACGTTCCACTATGACATAGTTGACTGTCAGCAAATTCCCTTTTCAACACACTATGCTAGTATTGTACACTCTGGCGATTATGTAGTTTACACGTAATCGGTGAACAGGGAAACCTTTTTGACAACGTGATCACACATATCTGTTAAATTTCTATTGCTTGCAGCAATCTATGAGGCATGTCAGGTTCATTGGGGAATAAGATAAAGTTTGAAACTGTATACAAGGTCAGTTTTATTTAAATGTAAATTTATTGGCGATCCGACCTTCCTACATGATCCAGATTTTCTCCAGATTTTCCGGTGTTATGGTTATAGTTTAGCTTGATTGTAGATACTTTTTTTTATATGTACTAACAATTATATTTTCAGGACACGCTTTTGGGGTGGTCTGTACTGCTTAGACTGAGAAGAAGAGAACACCTCTAAAGCTTGTCCTGCAAATGGAACAGTTAGGCCTTTTTTACACGTTACAGGCATTCAGGACTGCTTGTTTTTTTTTTTTTCTTAAGAGGGATTTTTTATTGAATTACCGCTCATGCAACTGCATGCCAAGCAGCTATGATATGTCCCATTAACTTTCATGGGCACGTTTGGCAGGCAGTGCCACCTGGTCAAGCAAAGTTTGCGACCATGGCAATGTGGATGGTCCCGAGTGGCCGTCATGTATGAATGCAGGTGGGTGGTAAAAAGGATGGATAAACACGGTATAACTGCCAGCGTTTACCCTTTACCCCCTTTGCTTCCCATGTAAACTTAGCCTCAGTGCTAATCAAAAAAAGTATGACAGATTGTACTCAACTGGGTAATTATAGTTTAGCAACCACTTAACTAGAGTTCAGTGACTAAGCTCAGGAGTTTTGGAAGTTTGCCCAAATTTCATACACATGGTCTTGCAAGACACAAAACACAGCACCTATCAGAATCCATCTTGTAATAGTCAAAGCAAAGGCATGCGACTAAAACACATACAGTTATAGGAATTAAAAAAGTTAAAATGTAGAAATAAAAATACTATAAAACGGAATTCCAGCAGGTCCAGTGGGCCGTGCTGGTGTTAATTTCATCACCTATATTTCTCACATGACAGGTAAACCTTAAATTGTATATAAATCCAATTTCTAATTATCATTATTGGATAGAGTAAAGAACCTGACCCATGTAAAGTTTTTGGGGTCTTGTCTAGGAGATTATCTTTCACTTCCTGTCTCGGAAACACAGCAGTAAGGCAGTAAGTAAGAGAAGATCTCTCCAAAGCAAGGGTGTGCCCTCTTAAGGTGCCCATACACTGCTCGATTCTCGTACGAGAATCGGGCGAAATCCCGCGATCGTACGAGAATCGAGCAGTGTGAACTAAGACGTGCGACCGTTTCTACTGTACGGTCGCACGTCTTTTGTCGAGCCAACATGTTCGAAAACCCGCCGAGAATCGTACGATTCTCGGCGGGTTTCTAGCCTGCTCGCCCGATAGCTGCGGAACGGGCCGGTGTGCGCACGCGCACACTGCCCGTTCTGCATTGCCGTCATCGGAAGCCCGCCCCTGAGCGGGGCGGGCTTTCGATGATGGCAAGTACGATCTGCCCGTCCAAGGTGGGCAGATCCTACGGGCTTTCAAGAAGCATACGACCATCGCAAGACAAAAGTGTATGGTCGTAAGGTGTATGGGCACCTTTTAGACAGTTGTCACCTGAACACATGTACCCACTGAAAAACTTACCGTCTCCTGTTCCTGTAACAGCTCCAAAATGTATGATCTGCCAACACCTTCTGTAACAACAATTGCAGGACAAACAGAGAGGGTGAATCCTCCCCCCCCCCCCATCTGAGACAGAGATAGCAATATAATCCGAATAGGTATACTAACCCCTCACCATGCTATCCAAAAATGTGAAAATAAGTTTTAGCTTCCATACACTTTAAGGCCCCTTTCACTCAGGCTGATCAGGAAGAGATCTGTGCACAGATCCTGTCCTGAACTGAGAGATAGGGATCAGATGTCACCGTTGTGTGTCTGTTAGGTTTTTTTCTTTTATCTTGTGATGAAGGAAAAAGATGAAATGACCGGACCCCATGTCGGTCTATGGGGAGTAGGACGTGTGTCTATTTACATCAGATTATCCGGCATGATCAGGACCGTGGAAACAGAACACTGTTCCGTTTGTTTTTCCGGACCTGGCAAGAGTTGGGGGTAAACGGATGCCCGTCCAGACTTACATTGGGAATCCAATTGGGTCCACCTGCAAAGCTGACGGGCCGGCCCGTTTGGACCTGTATGAAAGGTGCCTAACTTTCCAGATTTGAATTCTTTCACGGAACCTTGAGATACTTCTACAAAAATTGTTTTATTTTTATTACCAGAATTCTCTCTAGATGGTCGAGGAGCGACAACCGTATTTTCTTTCCAACTGAATTTAAGGACAAAATGTTTTTTAGTCCAATGGAGGTAACTTTCTAAGAGGGGATTTCTATCACTTTGTGACATTTCAATAAAGTTATAATAAAGGTAAACATTGTGATTCGCTGAAATCCTAAAATCAGCGCATTGCACTGCTTCCTAACAGTACAAAACAGTGGCTGTGCTGTTGGTGTGATTGGACTCTTAACCCTTCCCTCCCCTATACGCCCCCAAAAAGTTATCTTTTCAGCATTTTTTATTTCAATGTAAAATATCTTTCTAAAAGGATCTCACAGATATACCATCTTTTTTATCAATATTAATGAATGTTAATGTTTTAGCTATCCCACAAGTTTACCCATACTGGATCTTCTGCTTGTTATTGGAGAGGAGTGGTTGTAACATAGCCAAGTAGCACTTTGAAAGAGTGTAATTATATATCTGATTAGACTCCGAAGGTTGTGTTTAATTTTGTCATTTCTGCATGGGCTGTTCCGTCAGGCTGCTCCCATGTGTTTACTGATTATAGTTTGTCCTCTAATGAGTCATTGACCTCCGCGTTCAGAGCATTGCCCTATGTACAGGTAAAGCCAGGTGTAGCCATCTTTATGTGGACAGCACACAAACAGGTGAGACAGGTTAGGACACATTCCAAGCACATCTGATATTCCCACTCTGTCGGCTTCAGTTTTACAGCTGGGAATACAATGCTTGGTAATATTAAAGGAGAACTATGAGGCGAGTGCTTTTCACTCACCTCACAGTTCTAGCCGACCTGTGACAATGAGACTGTCCCAGGTCGGCTCAGTAGATCGGGAAGTGAGCGAACACATACCGGCGTTCGCTCACCTCTCGATCCTGTCACGGCTCTCTGCCGTGACAGGGGAGGGGCTGGATTCCCCCCTCCCCGCTCCGATACGCCAGCGCTGACTGGCGGAACGGGCGGGTACAGTGGGCTATGCCTCTAGATAGGCAGAGCCAGCTGTCAGTCACGCAGCTGGACGGATCCCGGCACAATTGTTTCAGCTGCGGCGTCTCAGTATACCGCGAGCAGAAGCTTCAGGTATACTGAGCCTAGGGTGACGGGAGGACGCTAGTTTGTGTCCTCCCGTTACCCTAAAGAGAACTATTGGGAAAAGCCTTAACCCCATAGTTCTGCTTTAAGCACACATTTGTACACAGACGGTATGATTGCATTAGCTGAATGTATCATATAACAAAACTAACACTTTGGGGTCCATTCATAAGATAGCCGCATGGCCTTACTGCAGTAATATCAACTCGGAGTACAATGCTTGGTAAAAATAAGCACACATTTGTACAACGCCTGTACGATTGCATCCACTAGATCCTTGGTTCTCAACTGGTGGGTCGTGACTGAAAAGTGGGTCACGACCCCGTGTTCAGTGGGTCGCGGCATGCCTTCCACTGCGCTAGGTGAGAGGCTCCTCAGCACTGTCAGTTCTCGCGCCAAGCATCCATTCTAAATATACTGGCCATCGCCAGCTTGAGGTGGTGTATGCTAGAGATATGGTCGTGAGGTAGTTCCATCCATACGTGCATTGCTTACAGCTCCCTCACATGCCCTGTTGAGGTGCCTGGACTAGAGTGATGTCACATTCTGGCTCCCATCACCTCTACAGGGCATGCAAGGGAGGTGTACAAGCAATGCACATATGAATGGAGCTCCATCACAGCAGAGCAGCCCACACTGGACCCCAGGCTGAGGATCCTCTCCAGTTCTCCTTAGATAGGGAGAGTAGGTGGACCTTAAAAAAAACAAAAACAAAAAAGTGTAAATGTGTGTTTGAGAATGTCAGTGAATGTGTGAGATTGTGTATGTAGGTCAGTGTTTTTGAGGGCCCGTTCACAATAGTACAGTGCTTTATTCGCATAGCATTAACACACTGTACCATGCAATCGCACCTACCGTGCTCTCTGGTGTGGAAGGTGTGTTGCGTCGCCATTCATTTGAATGGTACCCCAAGCGCACTTCCCACCCACAGTTCGTACGCCCGCACCTGAACATGGGCTAACCTAATGCTGTGTGTTCCAGTGCAGCGCGACTTGGGTCGTGACTTAATGACCAAGGACAAATGTGGGTCCTGAGGTTACACAGGTTGAGAACCACTGCACTAGATGTATAATATAAGCAAACTAATGATTTGTGTCCAATAAACCCCGTCCTATAGGAGCCCCCACCTTTCACTGTGCCCACCAGTCAATGCAGCACCGTGGCACACTTTGCATAGTACACTTACTTTAGCCCACAGAAATCTGTCCCTGACTAGAAAGGGCTACTTGGATGTATTTGCCCCCCCTTAGGCCAAAGGTTCCCAGTTGTCCCTACCATAGTCCTATTGTCCTGGTCTCACCTACTTCAAAAATTGTGACAGTCTAACAAAATTTGGATGGGGGTACACTATGCTTCTATCCCTCAGGAAATGTAGCTAGGAAATAGGCTTTTCAGGTTTACACAGGAATGCATGGTTAATGATCCATCTGGCTTCCTTCATTCAGGTACAGATTAACCTGCAATGTGCTTCTTACTACATACTGCTGGCCATACACTGGTAGAATTTTGGCGCATTCCTGTGAATCTGCTGAAACTCTAACAGTGGGTGGGCCCCGCTGACTCTACAGAAGTCATTTACTAAATCCAATTTTGTAGGAGGAGCCGGGTCGAAACTTTGTCAGCCGGATAGTGACTTCAGCCAATCAGCCGCAGCCACAGTTCTAGTAATTTGACAGGTTATTGTATTAGCTGTGACTACCCAAACAGTGATTGGCTGCAGTCACTCAATTTTTCAGCCAGGCTCCTTTGACAAAAGTCGTATGAAAAATCTACTGCTGTCGAATGGAATGGTGCTGGCAGGACAGGGCTGAAATTCAAGCAGTTTCTGAAGCTGGCTACACACTGAGCGCATTTCGGCTAGTCCTTCTTGAACCTGCTAAAATTTGCTCAGTGGGTGGCCCTATCAGCTGCCTCCCATCTGGCATCCTTCGACTGAAAAGTGTAAGGAGCTAGGTGAAAAATACTTTGCTGAACAGTGTCTGAGTCCCGTCGGATGAAGGCACTGTTTAGGCATTTTCACCGACTGTCAAAATTCAGTAGCCGCAGTGGCAGATCCTCCATCCAAGCTGTTTAGCATGAATGGAGGAATTGTTTTTTTTTCTACTAATTGTCACCCAGCTTGAGACTCCATGTTGTAGCTGGTCACATGAGTTCACCTCCTATTAGAATCACCATGTTATATGATGTCTAAACACAGAGATATTTCTAGGTGCGGTTTCCCCATCTGAACTTTCAGGGGCTTGATGGCCATGTCATCCTCCAAGCTGTGTGCTCCTGATAAGGAGCAGGAACCCAAAACAACAGATAACGTGCTCACTACTGACATTTTGTAAATAAATACTGACTATATTACCAATAACATCCAGTAGCTGACAGGGGTTAGGAACCAAGGCTGGACACATCCCAGGAGCCAGGTAGCCAGTGCTCCTTACAAATGACAGCTGGAGCCTAACTTTTGGGGTTTCCTCTAGTTGTTGTAAATATGATGATGATGATTGATGATTATAATTTTTGATAACCTGGTTATTAGTTTTGTATTATAAAATGTCGATATTGGTGGTGAACATCTCAGTGACTTCCTCCGAAGGCCATGTGTACTCCACCACCACTCATCGATGGGCTGTATATTCTTGGTGTCTACCCATACATATATAATACAATACAATGGATGTTTTTGTTGCAACAACTTTATTTAACGTATTGCATACCAATGATATACAGGTGAAACTCGAATAATTAGAATATTGTGCAAAATTCATTTATTTCACTAATGCAACTTAAAAGGTGAAACTAATATATGAGATAGACTCATTACATGCAAAGCAAGATAATTCAAGCCGTGATTTGTCATAATTGTGATGATTATGGCTTACAGCTCATGAAAACCCCAAGAACCCCAAATCCACATATTGTTAATAGTTAAGGTCCTTGAATGCATCCACATTCACTGTTAGAATTTGGTTCCGTTGAGAAAACTTTTCCATCCTGCATCTTTGATTTGATTTTGTCCCTACGGTTGAAACCAATTGGTGATTTGACCCTTATGAACTATTAGGAAATTGAATGAAAGTAGCCAGTTCAGCTTTTCTTGAGGTATCTATTCTACCCAATAGAAAGGGTCCAGCTTGGGTCAGTGCTAAAAAAGGAAATTAATTAACGGGATGATGTGGATGTTAGAGAATACTTTTTTGTTTCTTTTTGTAATTCATTATATCTGCTTTATCATTCACAGGACAGCCATACCTGGTGCCATCAGCAATCCGCGTACTTGTGTTGTTAAATCCTTGCGGGGGAACAGGAAAGGCTCTCACTCTATTTGAGACCCACGTCATGCCTATGCTGACAGAGGCCAATGCCCATTTCACTTTGCTGGTGACAGGTACGAAGGGTCAAGGGGGAACGAACGGTGACTCAGAGGCTGAATCTTTTTTAGATTGGACTTCAACATAGACCTGGGAATGAAGCTCTTGAGGTCATTAGCAGTGAGCAATACCAATTATATTTACACAGAGAATGAAAAGTTAAGCCAACAGTAAATGTAAAAAAATGAAAAAGCAATGCCAAACAACAAGTGAAATCATCTATCTATGGAAGTCTATCTAACAAGGTCAGTAGGAAAGGATTGAAGGAGAACTATGAGGTGAGTGAAAATCACTCATCCTCATATTTCGAGTCGACGTGTGACAATGAAACTGTCACACGTCGGCTCAATAGATCGGGAAGTGAGCGAACGCATACCATCGCTCGCTCACTTCTCGCTCATGTCCCTGCAGAGAGTGGTGACTGTCACTCACCGCTCCCCGCAGGGATACACCCCTTCCTGCTCCAATTCTCCAGCGCTGACTGGCGGAACGGATGGGGGAAGGGCGGGTACAGCTGGCTCTGCCTCTAGATAGGCAGAGCCAGCTATTACTCACGCAGCTGGGTGGATCTCGACAGTAATGTCGGGATCCGTCCCGGCTGTGGCGGTCTCAGTATACCGCGAGCTGTAGCTTGCAATATACTGAGCTTTGGGTCACACGAGGACGCTAGTATATGTCCTCCCGTGACCCTTAAGAGTACTATGGGGAAAAACCCTTACCCCATAGTTCTCGTTTAAAGGAGAACTATGGGGTTAGGGCTTTGCCCCATATTATATTTACTGAGACGCCGCAGTATACCGCAAGCTACAGCTCGCGGTATACTGAGACGCCGCAGCTGAAGCGGATCCCGACAATTATGTCTGGATCCGCCCAGCTTCGTGAGTGACAGCTGGCTCTGCCTATCTAGAGGCAGAGCCAGCTGTACCCACCCCCTCCCCCGTCCGTTCCGCCAGTCAGCGCTGGTGGATGGGAGCGGGGAGGGGGGAATCCAGCCCCTCCCCTGTCAAGGCAGAGAGCCGTGACAGGATCGAGAAGTGAGTGAACTCAGGTATGTGTTCGCTCACCTCCCGCTCTACTGAGCCAACCTGTGACAGTCTCATTGTCACAGGTTGGCTAGAACTATGAGGATGAGTGAAAAGCACTCACCTCATAGTTCTCCTTCCCTTTCACATGGCGTTCAGATCAGATCTGCCAGTCAGTTTTGCAATGTCAGTGTTTGGGCAGGAGGATGTAAACGAATGTATCGTTTTATATTGGATTACCTCCGAGTCCAAAACAAAACAAAAAGAGTTATGCTTTTGGGGACCTGAATGTGACGGATCAGAGGTACAACTGACTGCCCACAGACCTTTAACATGGCTCCGTTTAGCTCAGTTTTTTTCCTTCATCACAAGATGGGGAACAAACTGAATGTGACATCTGTTCATATACTGCCCCAATCAGCAGGGGATCTGTACATGGCTTCCCTGCTGAGCAGAGCGATCGGCGTCCATGTGAAAGGGGCCTAAGGGTGTACTTCCTGTAGCTTGTACTGTGGAACTTCCTCTTTCTCTGCTTCCCTGTGGATTGCATATGATTGGTGGGTATGAAAAATTATTCAGTTCAGGATTTTCTTTACATTTGGCTTTCTATATGAGAGGCAGCAAGAATCTTGCAGTGTCTGTTCCACTATTACAAGCAGGTGTGTTCCACGAGCGCCACATTATTGATAAAGGGAGTGAGGGTTAGTTCACACCATAAGCAGTGCGTTCCGGTCTGATTCTGGCCGGAACGCACTGCATCGCATTGCGGCCGGCTCACTTTTTTGCTGGGCTTGAGGGGGCGTGGCGGGCCATTAAAGTGAACGGCACCGTAGCCACGCCCTCCGGCCGCAATGCGATCACCCGCACATTGTGCCTGCGGACCCGTCCGGTGCAGTGCGATCAAAATGCTGCAAGCACTATTTTGATTGCACCAGACTGGACCGCAGGCACAATGTGTCTTGCGATCCCGTGCGGGCGATCGCATTGCGGCCAGAGGGCGTGGCTACGGTGCAATTCACTTCAAGGGCCCACCACGCCCCTCCTGCCTCACAAAAAAGTGAGCCGGCCGCAATGCGATGCAGTGCGTTCCGGCCAGAATTGGACCGGAACGCACTGCATATGGTGTGAACTAACCCTAAAGTGGACTGCTGTAGTATAAAGCAGTGTTTCTCAACCTTTTTTCAGCCATGACACCCTTTAAAAGTATTTACAATCTCTAGGCACACTGTCTGTGTCCAAGTGCACAGTGTCAGTTAGTGTGTTACGGCGTGTAACCGCGTCCTCCCATAGGGAGGTATAGGAGGCTGCACACAATTACAAACGCCACCTTCCCCTCCCAGGAGCAGGTCCCTGCATGGGCGTGCATGCCCATGTAAATGAGCTCTTAAAGTGATTGGTCCCAATTTCCTGTCCAGGTGACACATGTTAAGACAGAGCATCATGGTTCACGTGTGCCCTGGGCGACCTAAACTGTATAGAGCAATGTTAAGAAGTTGCTTGAATGTTTTTAATGATTACAAAATGCTGTGTACCCAGGCAAGTATGATTTCTTTCTGGCTTGACAAGAACTGTTGTATTTCACCCGAATTAACAGAGAGGCCCAACCAGGCACATGAGGTGGTACATGACCAGGATCTATCTAACTGGGATGTGATCGCTGTAATGTCGGGGGACGGACTCATATTTGAGGTATCATTTTCTTCACCTTTAACTAAAATTGTCAGTTTATTTAGAGACCCATGCCTAACTTATTTCTACTGTTTATTACCAGGTCATTAATGGGTTAATGGCACGACAGGATTGGGCAGACGCCATTAAAAAGCCCCTCTCTGTCCTTCCAGGTGGTTCAGGAAATGCTCTCGCTGCATCTGTCAATTATTATTCTGGGTGAGTAGAACTATAGTCAGACTCTGAAATCACATATGCAGGGATCCCAACCTGAAATAAGTCATTTCAGGGAGGTGCCCTTCTCATCTCAGGGAGGTGCCCTGTCATCCGGGAGAGTTCAGATGTCTGCATATGTGATACAGGCTGCACATTCTAGTAAGACCGGGCTTTCTGGTTTTCTATGTACCCCTTGTAACCGTTTGTAATTACTTGTTGATCCTTCCAGTAGAACCATCAGGTGCACACTTTAATAGGGTGACAATGCTTTTTCTTCTGCAGTGAAATCTCTGCAGCGTTGTCACCCTTCCTGCTGCTGTAGCTTCCTAGATGTCAGCACTTTTAATAGATCGATCAGTGGATATCCACACCGAGCCCTGTGCAAAGGTTTTTGATTAACCTTGCATTGCACTAGTCTCTCCTATCCCCTCCTGTACTGTGTAGCCGGGTGCAGGAGAAATCCAACTTTAAAATCCATCTGTCATTAGAGAAATACTGGAGCTGCCATTGCTGGCTGCCTCTGAAAAAGCATCACCTCCCACTCGTCTGTATTGATGCAGAGCCCATTCTACTTCCTCCGGGGACATTCTAGTCAGTGACAACAGATGGGGACCCATATTTTGTGGTGTGAGGCGGTTAGTGAACTTCTGACCTTCCCTCCTTTCTGGGTATTGTCCTGATAATACACATGCATGGGTCCTATGACTCGGAAACAACAGCACCTTCTGGTAACCCAGAAAATGGCTTTGTTTGGAGACTTTTCTACTTCTCACATACAAGACTACTGAGAAACCAATTATATAAAGAGGGGATTCATCAAAACTAGAGCAGACAGAATCTGGAGCAGCCGTGCATGACAACCAATCAGCTTCTCTCTTTCATTTTCAAAGCTGAGCTGAACAAATTAAAGAGAAACATTGATTCGTTAAAATAGGCAACTTCTCCAGATTCTGTCTGCTCCAGCTGTGATAATCACTGTCCAGCCGCTGTCACCATTGTGGGTGACAATACCCCCTCAAAAAACGTCACTGCTGACAGAGTCTCTGACAGAAGATATGTAAACGTGAGCACATCTATTGATTGGCTGTTTGATTTCCCGCCACAACATTAGCTGCGAATCAGGTGAGAGAGGTGTGTCAAATCTTCCCAGCAACAGCAGACTCCAGGTGTTCCTGCATAGTAACTGAGAAGAGGGGTAACCCGAAACAAGCAAAAGGGAAACCAGAAACTGCCTCAGGGCTTGTTCACACCATGTCCAGACCAGAACAGTTTGTTCCCGGACCAAAACACCATTCCAATGTATCCCTATGGTATTTCTGGGCTCTGTTCACACCAGCATAGTCCGTTCCGATCCAGACTAGAAAAATACTGCTTGTCTCATTTTCTCTGGTCTGGAATGCACTTGAATGCATGAAAACGTATCAAAACACATACAAACGCACTGGAACGCACCTGTAAGCCCATTTTAAGCAAAAACAAAACCTGCGGTCAAAACGCGGCAAAACGTAATGCAGCGCGTTCCAGATCTGGTGTGAACCTGGTCTCAGTGAAGCTCTAGAAACTACTACATGTACAAAAAGGACTGTGGCCATGTTGACACCATGTACGGACCAGATCTGCAAATGCAGTGCAGTGCGTTTCGACGAGTTTCTGCTGCCATTTTACCACGATTTTGCCACGTCCTGTTTTGGTGTTTTTTTAGCTTAAAATGTGCTTTCAGGTGCAGTCCAGTGCACTGTGTGCGTTTTTGGCGCATTTTGCGCGTTCCAGACCAGAAGAAAATAAGACATGCAGTATTTTTTCGGTCTGTAACGGAAAGCACTGCAAAGGTGTGAACCGTAGCCCAGAAATCACATGGGGATACATTGGGATGTGTTTTTTGGTCCAGGAGCTAACTGCTCTGGTCTGGACATCGTGTGAACAAGCCCTAATAATAGGCGTAGGGGTCACCAATAAAAAAATCTGTGGCCCTAACAATATAAAAGCACCTCAGCTGCTCCAATCCACTCCATAAACAAGAATGTTCAGCTTAGCCAAATGTTCCTGTTCAAATGATCAGAGATGGCGGAAGGGACATAACTACTGCTCCCTCCTGTGACTTAAAGGAGAACTATGAGGTGAGTGATTTCCACTCACCTCATAGTTCTAGCCGACCTGTGACAATGAGACTGTCACAGGTCGGCTCAGTAGATCGGGAGGTGAGCGAACACATACCAGGTTCGCTCACCTCTCGATCCTGTCACGGCTCTCGGCCGTGACAGGGGGAGGGGCTGGATTCCCCCCTCCCCGCTCCTATCTGCCAGCGCTGACTGGCGGAACGGACGGGGGAAGGGGCGGGTACAGCTGGCACTGCCTCTAGATAGGCAGAGCCAGCTGTCACTCACGCATCTGGGCGGATCCCGTCATCTACGTCGGGATCCGCTGCGGCGCCTCAGTATACCGCGAGCTGTAGCTCGCGGTATACTGAGCTTAGGGTAGCGGGAGGACGCTAGTTTGTGTCCTCCCGTTACCCTAAGGAGAACTATGGGGAAAAACACTGACCCCATAGTTCTCCTTTAACCACTTGCTGACCGGGGTGTTTACACCCCCTTCCCGTCCAGGCCATTTTTCAGTATTCAGCGCTGCGGTACTTTGATTGACGTTTATTCCGTCATGCAACACTGTACTGAAATTTTATTCCAATTTTTTATACCATTTTTTTGGGGACAGATAGAGCTTTCTTTTGGTGGTATTTAATCACCACTGGGGATTTTTTTTTTTTCATATAACAAAAAAAGTACAGAATAGTAAAAAAAATGCTTTTCCCTTTATTATTTTAGAAAACAATTATTTTTACCCAATTTTTTGGTAAAATATAAAAGGCGGGGTCACGTCGGGTAAATAGACACCAAACATGTCAAGCCTTAAAATTGCGCGCGCCCGCGAAATTGCAAAAAACCACCATAGCCAAAAGTTTTGGCTTCAGTTCTACTTTAACCACCTCCCTTCCGCCGATCGTTGAAAGACGGCCGGACGGGAGTCTCCCGCCGAGTGGGCGCGGGCACGGAGGACGTCTAAAGATGCCCACCCGCATCCAGGAGACTCCCGTCCGGCCATCTTTCAACGATCGACGGAAGTAGAACTGAAGCCAAAACTTTTTTTTACGTTTTGGATAGACTAAGGACGAGTTATAACCGCTGTCAGCTTTTCTTTTTTGCCATCTGTGTCCCTCCAAAGTGAGGGATATCTTTGTTGGTCATCAGAACCAGTGTCCCCATTGGAAGATTTCCCATCTATTGCTGTTCTCCTCCCTATGCGTTACTTCAAATTGTAGCGGTCAATATGACAAAATGCATACTGCTGCAAACGCAACACTATCTGTGCTGGTTTATACTCGCACTTTTAAGTGTGAGTGACCATTCCTTTTTATGTTTTTTTAAATAAATATATACACCGATCACCAATAACATTATGACCACTGAGAGGTGAAGTGAATAAGATTGATTATCTGGTTACAATGGCACCTGGAAGTGGGTGGGGTATATTAGGCAATAAGTGAACATTTTGTCCATGAAGTTGATGTGTTTAATGCAGAAAAATAAATGGATAAGCGTATGAATTTGAGTGATTTTGACAAGGGCAAAATTGTGATGCTGGATGACTGGGTCAGAGCAACTCTAAAACTGCAGCTCTTGTTGGATGCTCTAGGTCTGCAGTGGTCAGGACCAACCAAAAGTGGTCCAAGGAAGCAAAACTGGTGAACCGGCGGCGTCATGGGCGGCTAAGGCTCATTGTTGCATGTGGGGAGCAAAAGCTGGTCCGTGTAATCCGATCCAATGGAGGAGCTACTGTAGCACAATTGCTGAAGAAGTTAATGCTGATTCTGATAGAAAGGTGTCTGAACACACAGTGCATTGTAGTTTGGTGCATATGGGCTGCGTAGCCACAGACCGGTCAGGGTGCCCATGCAGATCAACCACCAAAAGTGCCTACAACGGGCACGTGAGCATCAGAAATGGACCACTGAACAATGGAAGAACGTGGCCGGGTCTTAAGAATCATGTTTTATTTTACATCATGTGGATGGCCGAGTGTGTGTGCATCACTTACCTGGGGAAGAGATGGCACCAGGATGCACTATGGGAAGAAGGCAAGCCGGCAGAGGCAGTGTGATGCTTTGGGCAATGTTCTGCTGGGAAATCTTGGGTCCTGTCATTCATGTGAATGTTACTTTGACATGTACCATCTACCTAAATGTTGTTGCTGACCAAGTACACCCTTTTATGGAAACGGTATTCCCTGATAACAGTGGTCTCTTCCAGCAGGATAATGTGCAAAAATGGTTCAAAAAGGGTTTGAGGAACACAAAGATGAGTTTGAGGTGTTGAAAAACAAGTCCGAACCACGGAGACCCCACCTCACAACTTAAAGGACTATGGGATTTGCGTTTTTTCCGCACTATGGGATTTGCGTTTTTTCCGCACTATGGAATTTGCGTTTTTTCCACACTATGGGATTTGCGTTTTTTCCGCACTATGGGATTTGCGTTTTTTCCGCACTATGGGATTTGCGTTTTTTCCGCACTATGGGATTTGCATTTTTTTCATTTTAATTTATATATTTTTTCACTTAACTTTATTGCTATCACACAGGGGTTAACAAGTTCCTGTGTGATAGCATTCGTGGATTTGCATTTTTACCGCATTATGGGATTTGCGCTTTTTCCTATGAATTTCGCACTGTCATTGAATAAATAAGAACCACAAAGCTCTGTCTATTCTTCCTGCAAGAGGGAAATCAAGCAAGTTTAGACCCAGAGTTGATATTAGGGTCCATCTGCTGAGGTGTGAGGCGTGTGGTGAAGGTGGAAGAGATCTCACCTGTTAGTGCTGTTCACATTTTGATGTGTGAACTTTCATTTGCAGGTACATGTTGCACAATGTGGGTTATTTCCTGCAAATTCTCTGATTCTCTATGAACTTCTTTCATTCTTGTATAGTTTCTGTATGCATTGCACTCGTTTTGAATCACATTCATTGGTTTTGTGACAATTAGATTACTCATGTTAGCACTACACTATTTTGTGTTTAATGTATAATCTGTTGTTTTTACACATTGAAGGGTGTTAGCAGCTTAATTCATTAGGAAATAGACACAGGGATTAACACAGTGCAGACGTATCTCATTCCACTGATACCTGATATTGACGTTATTCAATGACTAGCTACGCAAAATTGTGAAATGTTTTCCCCAGTAGATATATATGTAGATATAAATGTTTATGTATATGTTAAGAAATGCTGTCTTTGTTTTTTTATACAGACACCAACAAGTCACGGGTAACAAACTCCTCATGAACTGTGCCTTTATCTTGTGTAAGGGTCAACCTCTCCCCCTGGACATTGTTTCCCTGACCACCTTACCTGGAAAGAGGATCTTCTCGTTCCTTAGCGTGGCTTGGGGCCTAATTTCAGACGTTGACATAGAAAGTGAGAAATACAGATTTATGGGCTACGCCCGTTTCTCCGTAGGGACTTTTGTGCGTCTGACTGCATTGCGGACTTACTCTGGACGTCTCTCATTCCTGCCAGCCAGCCCTGCAGAAGTAGAAATGGACAATGGAGGTAGCCCTACAGCAGACAGTGGAGTGCTGGAAGACCAGCTTCTAGTACCACTGGACCAGCCCGTTCCAAGCCACTGGAATGTCATTGAAGACCAGTTTGTCCTGGTTCTGGCACTCTACCAGTCTCACCTTGGGGCTGAACACTTTGCTGCCCCTATGGTCAAAGGCCCTGGTGAAGGACTCATCCACTTGTACTACGCCACCTCCAGAATCTCAAGGGGAAGTCTTATTAAATTGTTTATGGCTATGGAGAAGGGAACACATCTAGACCACAATATTCCCCATTTCACTCACCTTCCTGTTATGGCATTTCGAATAGAACCACAGGAAAGTACTGGTATCATGACAGTGGACGGAGAGGTCATTCAATGCAGTCCAATCCAGGGACAGATTCACAGGGGCTTGGGACGTGTGATATCGATTGCTCAAAGTCCTAATGCAAACAGTAATGCTGCATGAGTGTCAGAACCTTCATGTTGAGAAGGAAATACTATTGTATTCATTAGAGTATATTTAACAATGAAGCTTGCATTGGTAGTGCAACTATGTAATTTAAAACATAAATAGCACATGTATTTCTTTCTAAGATATACTGCCAAGGATCTGGTAAGTATAATACGACTGCATCAGTGAAAATAGCTGTGTGTAGGTGTTAATTTATACTTTGAGAAGACGAGCTGAACACGCTGTCTAGAACTTCAGCGTAGTAGAAATTTCACCCAGTTTAAAGGGAATGCATAGTAGGGTTATACATATTTTCTTTATTTATTATAGTCAGGACTAAAAGATATAACCTTTTAATTTGTTTTTATTTTTTTAAGCCAGGTAAATATAAAATATTGCATTTTACATAGTTGATAAGGTTGGAAAAACAACTGGAGATCCATCCAGTTCAACCTATGGGGTCTGCTTATAAACAATTTGTGAATCCCTGTGAACGTTCGTTTTGTGTGAATGGAGCTAAACACAAGCGCTCTAAGTATATTTTCTTTTCAGGTCGAATGTAATATTCACAAACTATGGCCACTAGATGGAGCTGAGGAGCATAGGAAAGACATATTTATTTCCTATGCTATTTTCCTAGCTCCATCTAGTGGGCATAATGCGGTAAGAAAATATACCAGAAATGTTCATTTTGGTTACATTCGTACAGAACAAATGTTCACAGAAATATGCAGAACGAATGGCTTTGCAATTTGTTTTGAACTAGACCCGTGTGTGTGATTTTGAGTCTTCTAAGAATATACATACCCCTGTGTATTGTGGCCATTGAGGAAGGCATCGAGAAATGTTTTGAAGTTATCAACACTCCCAGCTGATACCACGAGCTGGGGAAGGGAGCGCCACATTTCTGCTGCTCTAGTTGTAAAGAACTCCTTGTGCAATTTAAATTTCCTCCAGCCTCAAATTGTGGCCGCATGTCCTCGCCAGGGACCTTCGATTAAAGAGTTTGTTACCATCACTAGTCACCATTGATTCATTAGTAGATGGCAATCATGTCTCCTGTTAAACGCCTTCACTCCGAGATGAAACAGTGTAAATGAGTTGATTGTTCCTCATAGCTGAGGTCCCCCAGCCCCCTTTTGTTGCCCCTCACTGAACTCTTCCTCATTCAAGGACATCCTTCTTGTTGAATGGTGACTAGAGATATACTACATGCTTGTGTATGTATTCCAATTACATTTTTTAAGTTCTCCTTCTGAAAAAGCAGGAGCAGCTCTACCCTAATGATTATCTATGTTAGTTGTTTACAGAACGCAATAGCTCAAACTGAAAAAGTCAAAGGGATGACACATCCCTCATCAGATGGCTAAGCCAGAGATATACGTTAGAGTTTTCAGTCAGAGAAATCCTACCTCAAAACAGGCTGTTTCTTCTGTGCTGCCTCTTTAGATATCCCATAGTGCTCCAGGGATTCTTATATATATATAAAATGTAATGCTGGAAATATCACCTCCTCTTCTGGCGCCAATTGCAAAATTTTGTATATCCCACCGCTGTCTATCCCGATGACAGTGGTCATCATGAACAACAATGAGGACCATTCTCCCCAGACATAATTTCTAACGTTTAAGGTTTTTAAAGGGACAGGTGTTCCAAAAAGTAACAAAAAGTTTTGGCTTTAGACATACTTTAAAATGCCTGATGTGCATGATACATATGAAATACCGACAGTGGCGTAACAACCGGGGGGGCGTTCGCCCCGGGCGCATAGATGGCGGGGGGCGCCTGCCGCGAGCCGGGCCGACTGTCACCAGAACAAGGCAGCAGGCATCAGGCTCCGTTATGGCAGAT